ATCAAACTTTGTGGTCGACCAACTTAGTGTTTGTGTTTTTTCCTTTGAAAAAATCTGGACCACTTTGAGAAGGATGGATGGTTTCCATGACTTAAAAAGATTCCCATTCGTTGCACACTTGAATGACCACAGTGTATAAATATATACCGGGTGTCCCATTAAGCCAATCGACCGGCTTTATCCCAGAAACTATTGGTCCCACAGTTTTAGGAAAAAAACTATCCTGTGTAAAGCAGTCAGGAAAAATTCAACCAAAATATTTTCAATTTCCTAAAATGACCGCTAGGTGGCGTAATACAGATTGAAAATTGAAAAACTCTTTTTTCTTGAAAAAGTCGAATACAAACGTAGGTATTTTTTATGTATTCTGCATCTCCTAGTCAATACCTAAAACTTAAAAAAAAACACTTTTTGTTCTAACTCTTCAAACAACAACAAAACCGGTATACAAAAATCACCATAACTTCGGTTTGTCATATCCGATTCAAATAAACTTTTGATCGTTTGATAGGTAATTCGAGGTAGCATAAGGATAAGATTTTAAATATCCTGACAAATTCTTCAACGAACCACCAGATGTCGCTTTCCGTAATTGAAACCAATTATTGATGATTTCTCAAAAATTTTAAATGTAATGACATATTTTCCAATAGAATTTCATATTCTGCAATAGATTTAAAAAAGAATGCCGCAAACGGGAAGTATCTAGTATTCTTCAAATGGAAGTTATGAATTAAAATGTGTTTATAAGCGTAATAAATGCATATTTTTAAAATATCAAGAAGGCTATGAATACAAAATAATTGTCGATTTCAAGAATGTCAAAATAATATTTTTTTTTTGTCAAACTCCTCATACACAGAACCGTTCGATAAAATCCTGATGTACTTGTAACCTGAATTGTAAATAACAATTATAACATGGCGAGCATGCTGAAACCAAATATTCCAGTGCTGAGCGCCTAACAAAACACGGGTGCAAACCGGTAGTCATCAGATATTTTCGAAATAATTCTAAAATTAAAATGTGACTATAAGTTCACTGTCAGGAGGAAATTTGAATCTAATTATAAAATTTCACTTATGAAGTTTTGAAATGTTGTTTTTTCATTACAATCTTATGAATAAAAAGAAAAAAACTAATTAAATACTTAAGATACAAAACAAATAACTTGGGTACCTACCTACTGCTTGAGGCTTTAAGTTTTGATTCGAGCTGTTCAAAATGACCGCCATTATTTTCAATACACATATCAAATCTTCGTCGGGTCGATGATACAGCAGTTTCTATCTCTGGTACCTACAGAAATTGACTGTATTGCATTTTGTATGCGCAAAATCATGTCTTTTCGCGTTGTTGGTCTAGTCTTATAAACTGCATCTTACACTCTTCCCCATAAGTAAAAGTCTAAGACAGTTGAATCGGGAGACCTAGGAGGCCAAGCAAATGAGCCACCCCTTCCAATCCATCTAGCAGGAAACTGGTTATCCAAATACTCCCTTACATTGCGAGCATAATGCGCTGGACAACCGTCATGTTGAAACCACAATCTAATAAAATTGGTAAGTGGTCGATTAAAAATTCCAAATGTCTTGCCCCATTTAAATCTTCTTCGAAAACGTACGTAATAATTTTGCCCTCGATAATACCGGACCAAACATTAACAGAGAATTCATGTTGTTGATCAATTTCAATCATCCAGTGTGGGTTATTTTCCATCCAGTAATGGCTGATATGCAAATTTACCTTACCGGATATGCAAATTTACCTTACCGGTCCATGAAATTCTGGACAAAAAATTTGGATTTTCTGTTAACATACTACGCATCCATTCGGGTTGAGGCTTCGCACCCCTTCGTGGTCACTTTGGGAGACTTGCAGAACATCTCTTTCCGAAGACTCGTTCATCCAACGAACAGTGAGGTTCTGGAACACATTGCCAAGGGAGGTGTTCCCCGAGGCATATAACCTTCAGAAATTCGAGAAGAACATCATTTCCTACCTTATTTCCCTTGGTTTTCACGATGTTCTCTGAACATTACAGGATATTCCTTTTCGTGGTAACCAGAACATAAAACAAAAAAAAAACGTCGAGATAGGCGAAGGAATACCATTTGGGAATGTTGCCTTCGTTCTGGATATAACAAACTGTATTCTCGCGAGACAATCACTGAATTTTTGAAACTTCGAAAAAATATTGCAAGCAAATCATATGCTTCTGAAACAGTGTAAGACATTATATTACAAAAAAAAAGGTTTTTTGATAATTAAACACTAAAATTTTAGCATAAGAATGGCTCAATGGCAAAATGTTGACAGATTTCATTTATTTTGTATTCATAGCCTTCTTGATATTTTGAAAATATGCATTTATTACGCTCGTAATCTTATGAACACATTTTTATTCATAACTTTTGTTTGAAGATTACTAGAGACTTCCGGTTTCCGGCATTCTTTTCTAAAGGTATTTCAGAATATGGCACTTCATCAAAAAATATGTCATTGAATGTGAAATTTCTAAGAAATCAACAATAATTGGTATCCATTACGAAAAGCGACATCTGGTGGTTTGCTGAGGAATCTGCCAAAATATTCAAAATCGTATTATTATTCTACCTTGAATAACCTATCAAACGATCAAGAGTTTATTTGAATCGGATAAGACAAACCGAAGTTATAGTGATTTTTTTATACCATTTTTCTTTTGTTTTTGTTGTCGTTGTTTGAAGAGTTAGAACGAAAAGTGTTTCACAAAAGTTTCAGGTATCGACTAGGAGATGCAGAATACATTGAAAAATACCTACGTTTGCATTCGACTTTTTCAAGAAAAAGGAGTTTTTGAATTTTCAATCTGTATTACGCCACCTAGCGGTCATTTTAGGAACTTAAAAATATTCTAGTTGAACTTTTATTGACTGTTTTACATAAGATAGTTTTTTCCTTAAACTGTGGGACCAATAGTTTCTGGGATAAAGCCGGTCGATAGGCTTAATGGGACACCCATTTATATATATATATATACAGGGTGTTTCTTAAGTACGTGTAGAAAATTCAGGAGCATGTTGCTGAAGTCAATATAAAGTAAAAAATTGCATGAATATATGTCCGAAAGTTATTCGTTTCTGAGATACAGAGTGTCAAAGTTGAATTCTTATTCTTGTTTTTTTCTCAATAAATTTCAAAATGATTCTTTATTAATTTCAAAATATTGGAATAAAATTCTGTATCTAGTGGTATTTTTCAATGACAATATCATATTTTATGTAAGTTTGTCTCTTTTGTGGGGGTGGCGCTACCTACATGTCTTTTGAGTCTTTTGAAAAGTCATAAATTTTTTGTGCGTACCTGTATAACGTTTTATGGTAGGAAAAGAGATGTAAAGAACACTTTTGTGTGAAAAATATATTCTTGATAGAGTTCGCTGCGAGCAACTGTTTTCGAGTTATTGGGATTCGAATTAATCGATGCATTCAAATTATTTCCATGTAGCTCGTAAGGCGCCTTTAGTGAATATAAGAAAAGATACGCCAGTGCATTATTCTTCTTTCATTCAATATTCTCCTACATTCAACATTGGAATGTTGACAAAATATGATTCTCACTTCTTCGTACCTACTTTTTTGGGCTCTTTCAATTCAAAAAAATAACAATCGAGTGAGTACTTCTCATGTTATTTCAATAAATTCTTTTGCCAGTGAAGTTTGTTGTCCTCTGTATTTGTGATCCAAGCTTTCTCAACTAACTGTTTTAGTATCGATGTGGTCTCAATTACTATTATCATTATTAGTATCAAATTTTAATAACACCCGATTCCTATTCTTTGATGAAATTGAAGAAAAAAAATCCCTTACTTAAATCAATTTTGAATTCGAACTTCTTGTTATTCCAAATTACTTGCATTGATTATTTCAAATCTCAATAACTCGAAAACAGTTGCTCGCAGCGACCTCAACCAAGAACATCTTTTTTACACAAAAGTGTTTTTAAAATCTATTTTCCTACCATAAAACGTCATACAAGTACGCACAGAAAAATTATGACTTTTCGGAAGACTCGAAAGACAGATAGGTTGCGCCACCCCCACGAAAGAGACAAAGTAACATAATATTGATATTGTCATTAGAGAAAACCCCAAGATACCAAATTTTATTCCAATATCATAATTATTTTGGAATTTATTAACAAATAACAAAAATAAGAATACAACTTTGACACTCTGTATCTCAGAAACGGATAACTTTCGGACATATGTTTATACGAACTTTTCTTCTTATTTTGACGTCAGCAACATGCTCCTGAATTTCCTACACGTACTTAAAAAACACCCTGTATATATACATACAAATATCCATTTTTCATGTTGAAAACGGAAGCAGATTCGTTTCTAAAGCGTCTAAAGCTAAGTGAACATTTGATATTTTTTATATACCTTTATTTCTCTTATCCAAACCTTTTTCAATACAAATTGTCACTGACAAGATAGTGAATTTTCCTTTTAGGCTCTCTGATAGAAAAATTATTTCACCGCAGTGACATTCTGGGGCAAATCATTCGATTTGTCCTTACTACACATAATATCGAAATGATATTCATATTTCCATTTTATAGAAACGAGGAATGAAAATCCCAATAAATCTGGAATAATAATGAAGTGTCGATATTCTGATATACAAAGTGAAATATTTCTAATATCGCATGGTGGGGTATTTTGCGATCAAATTGTGAATCATTGCATATTATATTTTTGTTATTATTCTTAATTCTTAATATATACATTCAATTGAAATGTTATATCAGGAAATATTGATTTTAATCTGTTATCAAAAAATCCTGCATGTTTTTCTGTTCACTGTTTTTTATCTTCATTACGCGAAGATTGAAATTCTTATCATCTGCTTGAGTGATCAATTCATGATTGATTTATTCAAATGTTTCTTCTCTTGTTTGCTTATCGTTATCAGAAATAATTTGAACTGACATGTTATTCATTTAGAGTCGTTAGTGTGTCGGTGCCACTTAATCCGCTTCGACATGATACGTATATTGTTCTTGATGTTTATAGCCTTGCCTGGCTCCTACGGAAGATACGAACCAAATTGGAAAAGTTTGGATACTAGACCTTTGCCACAGTGGTATGATGAGGCAAAGTTGGGTATTTTCATACATTGGGGAGTTTTTTCCGTCCCTAGTTACTCTTCAGAATGGTTTTGGTCTCAATGGGCAAGTGAGTATATTATTCAATCAAAAAGACTACGGAATGCAATTTTTGTATACAGGATATAGGTAGAGGTGCTATATTCACGTAAAACACACTTTCTGTTTAACTTTTTGTGAATCTGTGAATTCTTGTGGATATTGAAGTATACAGGGTCCTGCATATCACCTGCCCTATTTTATTGCTCATGTAGTACCTGATTAGTTCGAGGCTTCTTCATGACACTCAACAGGCAGCAAAGGTGTACTTATTCTGCCTAGACTAAAGAAATTTCTTGCTATGCAACACTGAAAAAAATAGTTGGTAGTTAATACCGAACGTTTAGTTGAAGAAGCGCCAGTCACTACATTCATCTAATAATACCACTACAAAATTGTATAATACCATATTATATCAAATGTTACCACTAGAAAATAGTATGATACTCATAGTGTAGTATGATACAATTTTGTTATGGTATTATTTGATGAATTTCGTGACTGGCGCCTATTTTACTGAACGTTTGGTATTTACTACCGACTATTTCTCTGAGTGAACATTCCAAGTTATTCGAATGAAATAATCAGAATTGACACTGACATTGATTGAACACAAAATGATGAGAAAAATTGAATGTTTCACATGGCAGTCATTCTATATACTACTTTGCTACCTAGTAACATAAATAGCGATTTCAATAACATGCCATATATTTTGTCGCACATTTCGAGTGCTTCTTGTTGTTATCAACATACTACTGAAATTTAATTGGAATCAGTTCATTAAAATTCACAAAAAAAAACTAATAAAAATCAATTCTGCACCACAGGTATGAAACGTTTATAACAAAAAAGAGAGAACCTCGTGGAATGATGAAAGGTACATATCGAATAAGGCCTAAGAAGGTTGTTACTCGAGTTTCATTGACACTAATAATCAGAGGGTGTGCAATTTATTTTTCTCATCCCCAATGGGATCCTTGTATATTTGATGCAGAATTGGAGAACAAATAATTATTTTTCTGATTAAAACCTTGAAGAAATTTCAATCATATCAAAAGTTATTAGCCGAAATCACGTTTCGTTAACTAAAATATGGTAATTTTGGAAAACACAAGAAATTCGTTAAATACAAGCTATCAGAATATCTTTATCACGAATCTAACTTTTGAGGAAGTTCAACGACTGGCTTGAGTTATTCACAGGCACACTATTTGAGATTCCAGACCAAAGAGAGTTTCTCACTGGTATTCTGATTCTTCCAGATTATATCAGATTGCGTGAGGCCGACTCTTTCAGTGAATCTGACATGGTTCGTTGTCTACTACATCAGGAAACACTGATTCGATTCAAATTCAATTATCTGATCGAGATATCGTTTCCATACCATATTGAATCAGAAAATACATAATACATGATGGCGCATTATGATGTAGTTTCATAAAACATTCATTATCATTATATCATCACTACATTATAAATTGAAAGAGATGAAGCATAGAAGAACAATTACTGTGTTAATCGAAACATTTACATTGAACTGAGCAACTTACGAGTTATGGGCTCGCCAATCTTCTATAATTATAATGTAATGATAATGTGATGATAATGTGATTATTATAATGAATGTTTCATGAAACTGCCTATAGTGTGTGAAAGAGTAATTACTCACTTACGATGAAAAATACGAAGAAATGTCATGTTATATTTGTGCCGAAGCACATTTCTGGAATATTAAGATATACTGGATGTTGAGCCTAAGGCAGACAATATGAAGTGTACTTTTTCAATATTACACCCTGTTTTTGTTTACCTCCAGGGTGAAGTTCTGCATCTAGCTCCACTTTTTTTTTCTCATGAAACGCGAAATTGCCAAGTTGGAGTAAAAAGCATGAAGATTTCACGGGAATTGGTGCACTATAAATGCTACCTATTAAACGTTATCAATGATAAGCAACTGAACTTATTTGATATGTACTATGGTAAAGGATATCTGAAATGTCTGAATAGAGTTTTGTTCGGGGTTTGGAGTATTTCTGAATGAGTGAGAGTTACTTAGCTGTGTGCGAAAATAGTACAAGTTGTATTTCGTGCAAAGTCTTCCTTATTCAAATATTTCTCGTAGCAGACCGCTTTCGACTTGTATCATCAGTGCGTACCTGAAAGTGAATATTGAAAAAGACTTCAGGCATAATTGGATTTATTTTTTGAAATTTGTCTTTTATGAAAAGTTGAATTCTTACTTGGAAATTAGTGTTGGTCAATCAATTTGTAGCTATTGAAGAAGACATAATCATAAAATTTGAAAAATGTTACGCATGTATTTAGAAACTAGTAAATGTGAGGTTACTTACTCGTCAGGTTGACAATAAAATTATCCATGAGAATATCTTTGGTCCAGTTGAGTAATATCAACATTGAGGGTAATTACGGTACAAACAAATTTGAATTTGTTTTCCAAAATAGGATAATATGTAGATTACATTGTCTTAAACAGTTTTTATGGCTGAGGCATACTATGCATGAATGTTAACAATATTAAAATGGGGAATAGTCAACCAGGTCCCCAAGGAGCAATTATTGTACTGGTCTAATGAGAACCTGACTAGCAATTCACTCAGTATTCTGGGAAATCAAGAATGTTACAAGTCAACCAGTGAATACACCAGGAAAACCCCAGTTGAGGCTAATGGGAGCTAACTCAAGCCAATCGAGATGTGAACAAAAGTTGAATGAATTTATCTGTCTCACAAACTATTCAAAAAAAAAATGAGAATACGGTTGTGACAATAATTAAACAGGGAACTGGACGATCAAAGAACCACTCAAACTCTGAAATGGAAAAGGAAATGATACTGGTGTTCTCAGTCCTATTGGAAAAACTGCTTGAAAAGATTCCTGTTTTGGATATATGATCGTCATAGAGAAAAACGAGTCTTGATGGTTTTGTGACAAAAATATTCTGATTGAATTGATTATCAGGCTTTTTAATTGTTTATAAAGTGGAATGTGAGATACGTTCAAATTAACCTCGATGTTCAAACAATAGTCAAAGTCGATTTGTAATTGTTTGTCAATGTATAAGTCTTCAAGAAAATCTAGTCTATTGAAATTTTTGAAACTGGTTGCATGTGAAATTTTCAAATTTCTATTGCGGTTGAAATTTTGGTTATTGAATCTTGAGTGTTGTCCAAGTGATGATTTCTTACTATTCAAATGTTCATACCTATGCGAGCCTTTAGAGGTCTACACGTTCTACCAATATAGACAGCTCCACAATCTTCATAATTTAATTTGTAGATACCACTTGCTGAGAGTTTATCTATCTTATCTATGCTGTTTACTAAGTGTTTACTCAAATTATTGTTGAATACAACAACGACAGATTTTATCAACAACCTGAAGGGCTTGCAATGTGGAGTTGTTTATCTCCTTCTCTAGCAGATATTTTTATGAATAATTTGGATATACATCATCACTTATAACAATTTTGAAATCATAAATTGGTTTAGATACCTATTTGGATGATAGTTCGGTATTTTTAAGTGGCAACATAGGTACTGCCCTTGTACTGCTCAGAATCTTCTGAATACAATCAACCAAGTACATCCTGATATTGAATCTACTTCCGAAATAAAATGCAATAACAAATTGAATTTCTTAGATATCACAATCCACGAAAACACTGACAATGGTCATACCAAACTTCTCTACCATTGACACCGACTTAAAATGGCCGCATTCAAGTATTACATACATAGACCTCTGAACGTTCCCTTATATCTTCCGTCGGATATCAAGCTCAATTGAACACTTGAAACAAATAGCTCACAATAATAACTACAACACAAATATTATCAATTCTATCATTCAAAGAATGAAAAACAGGAAATAATTCGTTTCAGAATTTCCCAAGATAGATTCATCAGACAGATTCATTTCACTTCCATTCATCGACAATCATATTTCAAATAAAATATCTGGGTTCATTGAAAACAAAATTGAAAATGTCAAAATGTCTTCGAAATCGAACAATAATTTGGGACAACACTTAGTAAACAGCAAAGATGAGATTGATAAACTTTCAAAAAGTAGTATCTACCAATGATATTGTGAAGATTGTGAAGCTGTCTATATTGGTAGAACTTGTAGACCTCTACAGGCTCGCATAAGTGAACATTCGAATAGTAAGAAGAAATCTGCATCTAGACAGCACTTAAGATTCAATAACCACAAATTCAGCGCCAATAGGAATACAAAAATTTTACTTGAAACCATTTCAACAATTTTCAACATACTAGATTTTCTTGAAGAATTTCACATTGACAAATAATTACAAAACAACTTTGACTATTGTTTGAATAGCCAGATTAATTTCCACTTCATAGACGGTCAAAATAGCCTAATAACTAAAATTTAATCAAAATATTTTTGTGAGGTTCCTTCTTTTCTATAACGATTTAATTAGATACCCAAAACAGCAATTTGAACACTATCTTTCGGTTTCTGACGGTTTTTTTTCCTCTCCTATGTCAGAGTTGAGTGGTTCCTCGATTTTCCAGTTTCCAGAGCTGAAGCAGTAATTATCAGAATTCCACTTCCTTCGCGGTTGGAGATTTGATCGAGTTTTGATAAATATTTCTGGGGATTATATCAGTCAAAACCGAATTCCAAAATCTTTTTTGTGTTAAATAGTTTGTCAGACAGATGAGTTTCTCCAACTTTTTATTATATCTGTATTGACGTGAGTGAGCTCTCATTGGGCTCAACAACTGGGTTTCTCCTTGTGTATTCACTGGTTGACTTGTAACATTTCTGATTATCTATGATAACGCGCCTTGGCTGAGTTTGTCTATGCGCTGAAATTCGCTTGATAGCCCTTCAGTATGCGAAGGTACTGTCGGTACGAAACCGGCTATCGGCTGAGCATTTTTCTTTAAAATGTGTGATTGATGGTTGTTATCCTGGCAGCACCTCGACGCCTCAAAAGTGGTTCGGATTCCACTATGAGCTGTAGGTCCCGCTCTTCCT